TCATGACATTTGGTACTCAAAATAGTTTATTAGGGATCATATTACAAAAATCTTGGTAGCTCAGTTGGTTGTTTCCTAGATTTTTAGACTATAGGTCACGAATTCGAATCCCCAAACATTTTTTGTGCTATTTTCTCTTTGAAATTATTGAAGGGCAAATTCTTTATTTCGTAATCATCTTCTTTACCCGCCTTCCTCACGCATCTGAGATTTTAGAAACTCAGATCTATGGCTGCCCATCATTTTTGGAATTGCTTTACACCATTTTCATCTCATTTTAACTTGGTTTTAACAAAAATATGATAGATCCGACATCCAACATCCAATTTCGACCTAAAATTCAAAAAAATTTGAGGTGTAACTTTTCCTCCGTTTGGGAAAAATGATAAGCCGCCGAGTGAATTATCAACGCCTACGCGGCCTCGGCGGCTTAAATGCAGAGACTTAATTGGTAGACGAGAAAACTGATAAATGATGGACGAGAATAGTTGATGAAGCATTAGAAACCTAAAAATTTAGTGAACGTAAAAATCAAATCTAAGAACATCGTCAATTGTCAAAACAACTTTCACCAAATAAGAGACAACATTGTGCAAGTATCTTCAAAAGTTATATACTTGTTAAAAAAATTTACCTAAAATAATCTATTTTTCAAAAGATTAGTTAGGATAATCTCTTTAAATTTTTATTGTTCAGATACCCAAATTACCCTTTTTTACTGATAAATATTTGAAGAGCCCAAATATTCTTGTTCGAAAGTTTTATTGAGATGAAGTGATAGACTCCTGGTGAGGAACTGTACTCCAAGGAACATACTTCGTAAGGTTGAGACACGAAGAGATGATGATCGATTTGAATAAGGCGGAATGATGCGATGAAGGACTTGTTGAGGTTCGTTTTGAAGCAGCGGATGAATTCGATAGGACTCAACAAGATGAATCTCTTGGGATCTACGGATTCTGATGAGGACATCAAAATCAGCTCAACTGAATCTGAGGAGGAGATCATTAACGTGCCTACTATGAAGCGAACTCCAAGAACAAGATCAGGCACGAAGAAACTTAGAGAGGAGTTTAACAAGTCTGTAGAGAATCTCATCACACTCATAGAGCATGAAGAATTTTAAGACGATGAGATTAGCAAGAAAATACAAGAAGATGCTCAAAAGCAACTCAAGACTACGACTCTACTTACGCCTGCTCTTTAAAGAATTAAGGAAACAACTTTGTTCACCATTTCAAGAGAAGATCAAGCCATCTAAAATCAGTCCAGAAACTCTCAAAGTATGTATTTGAATTTCTTTGAATAATTAACGTGTTTCTTTTTCTGTTTTGCATAAATAAGACCGTTAGAGTTTATTTAAGTCTTTTAATTTTCAAGTGTGTTGCTTTTCACGTTTAGTCTTTTTATTATGTAATATTTTTGACCCTAGAAGGTCCCCAGCTCCTGGACTATATATAAAGTCCCTTCTCAGCTTGTAACCAATTAAGTTTATGAAATAAATGAGAGTTTTCGTCTGAGAGAGAAACAGCCGCCTCCTTTCTTCTTGTGTGAGATTCCTTGAAGATTAGTGTTTAGACTTATCACAGATCGTCCATTATCTATGTAGCGTCTATCGATCCATCCTTCTATCCATTCCCTTCAATCGATTCTTCAAAGAGAGCCCTTGGGCCAGTTGAAGAGTCTCCATCGAATCCACTTCATTTCATCAACCATTCACTAAGATTTGTAGAGAGTGCCCTTCGGCCAACTATAGATTCACCGTCAACCATTCCATTTTCGGATCCATCACTTTGGGTTCCTATATCATCTGGTATCGAGCTTAAACACTCCTAATCAGGTTTATCTTTCCATTTCGTTTCAGTATATTTCGTTTTTTTTGTTGCTGTTTCATAGATCTAAAGAAAAATCCAGAAAAATTCAGTTGTTACTTTTGATTTCGTTTGCTATTGTAGATTTGTTTGTAAGCTATTGTCTTTTCAACTTCTCTGCAGTAGATCTGTGTTTTTTTATCTATATTAGCCTTGTTGAAGAAGCTTGTTCGTTGTTGTCTTTTCAAGTTCCTACAAGAAGATCTATTTCATTTTATTTGTTTGTAGGCTATTGTCTTTTCAACTTCTCTGCAGTAGATCTGTATTTTTTTTTTTATCTATATTAGCCTTGTTGAAGAAGCTTGTTCGTTGTTGTCTTTTCAAGTTCCTACAAGAAGA